TTTTTTTTTTTTTTTTGAAGTTTAAGTGCCATTAGGTTGATTTGAAATTGAATTCTTTAATGGGATCAGTGTATTTTCCATATTGGTAGTTTCTTTTTTATTTGTTATACATTGTTTTTTTCCTTTCCAGGAATCCAAATAACATAATTCGTCAGGTCTACAGAATTCCTAAATCTTGTCAAACAGCTATTAAGGTTTATTTTGAATTCATGACATCAGAGGTGCTGTGCTTATGTCATTGTTCTTTTCCAAATGTGCACAACTTTAAACGTTATTGGTGATTTTTATTCAGAGTCCTTCAATCTAATCTTCCTATGTGCAGTAACCATTAAGTTCTTACTCTATTGCAATATTTTCATTGCGAAAAAGAAAAAAACAATGCTCCACAGGGTCTTTTTTTTTCTTCTGTTTAGTCTGCCCTTTTGTGTTGACCGTGGAGGAATGTTGCTTTGCAGTGACTTCAGTGAGGTCGCCTAGACAGGTCATTGATGCCCTGAATGCAGAGGGGCCTGACATAGATATCATTCTTTCCGAAGTTGACCTTCCAATGTCCAAAGGCTTAAAGATGTTGAAATACATTATGAGGGATAAAGAGTTGAGACGGATTCCAGTGATCAGTAAGTTAATTTTTCTTTATTTTCCGGTTTGCTAAGTTGTTTGTTTTCCTTTTCAGGGAGGTTATTGATTAATTGTTATTTTTTGATCATTTTGTTTTTGTAAAGTGATGTCAGCACAGGATGAGGTCTCTGTCGTTGTCAAGTGCTTGAAATTTGGAGCTGCTGACTATCTTGTGAAGCCTTTACGAACTAATGAGCTCTTGAACTTGTGGACTCACATGTGGAGGAGAAGGCGAATGGTATATGTATTCCGTTTGTCTGTTGTTTAGTTGTTTTAAATTGCCCCTTTTCCAAGTTTTCAAACATAGTAAATTTGAAGCGGGCTCTAAGCTAATTTTTTAAAGTACTTATAAATTATAATAGAATAGATATTTAAGATTCAGATGTCAGGGAATTAGGAAAATTATTACCTGGTGTATTGGGAAATCAAGTTATAAGATGTTATGGTTTTTGCTTATAGACATTCTTTGCTCTCGTCATTTTAGTTGCACAAATTTTCTGTTCACGCAGGAGAATGTATAAGTTCGATATTCTATATCCAAAAACAAAGGCTACCTTGCTGGGTTTTTTTTTAATAGATGTCTCAATGCTTTCACATGGCTTTACTTCTAACCATCTTTATACCCCTTAAGCGAAATATTTATATTATGATGTGGACAGCTTGGACTGGCAGAAAAGAACATCTTGAGCTATGACTTTGATTTGGTGGTGTCAGACCCCAGTGATCCTAACACAAACAGCACTACTCTGTTCTCAGATGACACAGATGATAAGTCCCGGAAGAGTGCCAATCCAGAGATGTGTTTTTCAACTCAACAGGAAGATGAGGTGAGTAAAGTGTGTATAAAAGAAATTTTGGATACTCAAGGAAAATACTTGGCCATGGTGACACCAGATTATGCAGAAAACATGTTCATTTATCAAATAGCTATCTAGATATGTCTTTGAAAAAGTATCTTTTTAGATGCCTGGAATATAAATTAGTTTTGAACATGAAAAATAAGTTGCAACATAGACTTTGGGTAGAAGCGTTTGGATCTAGGTCTATCAAACATGAGGCACTGTAAAAGGGCACTAGGGACTGATTTTCACAATGTGCAAAAGATCTGAGAGCTAACAATTGAAAAAGAAATATAGGTTATTGAATTCTGAATTAAATGGATAAGTGGGTGAGAGTAAAACGGAGTAATCAATGCCCAGTGCCTACAAGATGTTAATCAATGTTGAAGATATTGCCATCTTCAGGGAACTCATATCAGGAACGGCATCAGAGGAAACTTACAACGTGAATGGAATGTACTTATCAAAGACAAACAATTGGTTTATTTCGTGCACATATAACTTTTTGAGTGTCTCTGTAGCTAAACTTATGGTCTTGGGTATTTTGGAATCTACCGTATCTATTGATCCATCGAAGCACAGTAAGTATATTGCTGGAAGTATACATCTTAACCACAAATCACATCACGTGTGATAAGGACCACATGTGATACAGATACAACTTTAATGGTTTTCATAGTTCTGGAAAATCATTTTCAAGTTATTTAAATATTTATGGTCTTCTTTGTCCCTGCAAATCTGAAAGATACTTTGCTATCTTTTGCCTCTACCTAATTAATAAATAAGCGGATAAATAAATCCTCCCTGGTGGTGCCCCAAATTCTAGTAGTTTATTCTTGTCTTCCTTTACATGAAGGTGGATTTCAAAATTTTACTTTTCTGTTAAATCTTTTGAACCATGTAAACTGCCATTGGACATGGAGAACTACAATCTTTGATTTTGTGACTTAATGCCTAGAGCTTTGGAAGATATACACACCATGAAGTATAGTCAACAGTTTTAAGTCTGGAAGATATTCATGCGGCGTGATAGTTTTAGATGTGAGTTCTACTTTAGTTTTGGAACTTTTGGGTTTGCGTTGTCATCACTTTTATTTATGGAAGTTTTGGGTGGTGGCGCACCGGGGGATTGGGGGCTAGGTTTGGTTAGCTTGATGTGCAACTTTACGATCATAGGGTCTTATTTTACCTATCACTACTTGGTGGATAATCAGCTTGATTTGCAAGTTGGCAATTTTTAAATCTTGTTTGCCATACTTCCACTTGATGGTTAAGGGCAAATTAACCTTTTTTGTTATGTACTTTGCTTGAAATTCTCTGCTTGTAGCTTTCCTTTTCATTCAATCAACTGAAAAATTTAAGTGCAGGTAATGCCTATTGACAAGAATTAGTAATGGTAAATAAAGTGCTTTCAATGATACAATATTGAAATGGATCATATAAAATAATGAAACTCTACCATTTTTGATTTTATGAATATTGGATCTTATCCAAAAACAAAATGTTTTTCGACAATTTATACAACTTAATGGGGAAACTTGGCTTGGGAGAACAATAAGTAATTACTATCAGTTCAATAGGAATTTTAACTGCTCGAGCTCCAGAAAACTAAAAGAATATAACTATAGACTCTCACGATGAATACTGTGATTCATAAGATGATAACTGCTACTGGTCACAGTTAGAAATTTACTGGGGGAAACTATTATCTAGATATTAACTATATTGTTACTGTTGAAACTGCCACATATTCTCCTGATAATTTTATTTTTAACCCTACCCAACCAAGAAATGTAAGATAAAAACTGAGAAATAAGTTAGTGTGGACCTAAGAAGCACGGATACGGATACGGGTGTCGTATCCGATACGATATGGACACGGGGATACAACAAAATTAAAAAATATGGGATACGGGTACGGTAAGGATGCGGCTATTAAAATAATATAATATATTTTTTAAATAATAATAAAGTTGTAATATATTAAANTCAAAGAAAAATGGTACATTTAATACACATAGATTAATGGAGAGCAAAAATATCACAAAAAAATCAGTAAAATTCAAATAATATACTTAGATACAAATAAATATCAAAATTAAGGATTTAATTACCTAACATTTTTTTCTATATATTTTTTTATAATTAAGTTTAATTGGATGTTCCTCTTTCCAAATTGCCCCACGTCTGCCTATTAGGCCTCCTAATGGCCTTTCATGGACTNTCATTAAACATCATTTGCATCTATTAATATTCATAGTATATAAGTTACGTAATAAAAAATATATTAAAAAAAGTAAATTTTGAATAGTTAAAAGTTGTTTTTTTAATAAAAAAAACTCTTTGTCGTGTCCTGGTCGTGTCCTAGACGTATCCTTGCCGTGTCCGACTAAGCTCACTATTCAGGACACTTCTAGCCGTGTCGGACACGTATCTGGCCGTGTCCTGGCTGTATCCGTGTCGGACACGTGTCCGATATTACCACGGCACCCCGTGAGAAGTATCCGTGCTTCCTAGGTGTGGACCCACAAAGGAGTCTATCAGATATCATATTGTACTGTTTGCCAGTTGTTTTGAATTGTTGGCATCTTTTTTTGCATTACACTTCAACATATTTTAAGGATTTATGTAATGATTTTTAAGTAATTTGGCAGTTGCAATGAACTCTTTTTTCATTTTTGAAATAATTTGAGGCTAGTGGATTTTTCTGCAACTGTTCTGCTAAAACTCGTTCTTTGTCCCATATTGTATCATAGCTGTGTTAACCTGACATTTGTTGTGGGTGTGGTTTGGTTTTGTTATGCTTCTATATTTTCAGACTAACGCTGCTCCTGTTGAGATCCCACCTGCGGATACATTGGTGTGTGGGCCTGATTTGCTGGGAATTAGTGACCTGCGAGCAGGTGAGCAGCTTCTCATGTTTTTACGTCAACTGTTGGTCTGCCAGTATTCTTCTCGGACACCACATGGAAATAAATCCGATTCATCAAATTGTATACAGGATGTTGACCGGGTTCATTTTGCCTTTTAGAATGGTATCTGGGGTGACTGTGTTGGTTTTTTCTATAGTTTCATAATGCAACATCTTCAATATTGGGTTGTTGTCTGTAGGGGTGGCTCCATCTTCTGTTGTTTCTCCAACTTAGAAGAAGGATTTTGCAACTTAAGATGCATAGGGAAACAGAATTGAGTGATTCCATATTCTTGGCGTTCCATATATGCTGCACTCTTTTAGGATATTATGATTCTTGTTCAAAATCTCCTACAAATAAATGCTGGGAGTTCAACTTTGTTAGGTTTCCCATGGTTAAAACAACCATTTGCCTGTTTTTTTGGGTTGCTGTCAACAGTTAAAGACTCTNACGGGTTCATTTTGCCTATTAGAATGGTATCTGGGGTGACTGTGTTGGTTTTTTCTATAGTTTCATAAAGCAACATCTTCAATATTGGGTTGTTGTCTGTAGGGGTGGCTCCATCTTCTGTAGTTTCTCCAACTTAGAAGAAGGATTTTGCAACTTAAGATGCATAGGGAAACAGAATTGAGTGATTCCATATTCTTGGCGTTCCATATATGCTGCACTCTTTTAGGATATTATGATTCTTGTTCAAAATCTCCTACAAATAAATGCTGGGAGTTCAACTTTGTTAGGTTTCCCATGGTTAAAACAACCATTTGCCTGTTTTTTTGGGTTGCTGTCAACAGTTAAAGACTCTAAATGCGTTTATACTACAAGTCAGACCTACGATGTGCTAATGCAATTTAAAATATGTGGATTTATTGCCCTTAAAAAAAATAGATCGATTATTTTAGTAAGCATATATGTAGAAAATTTTCAATTTAAATCAATATAAGATAACCCTTTAATGCTTTTGCTCATGTGCTGGTTGTTATTACTAATTTTTTGTGCCTTAAAGAGGCTATCCCCGTTTATTTAATGCCCTTGATCCAAAGGAATAATAAAAATGGAGAAGAAAAAGAAAAATCTTCCCCATCCTGTTCCCATCAGAAATCTAATTGAAATTTGGTATTTTTATCAGGACAAATTTCATTGTTTCCAAAGAAGAGTGAGTTAAAGATAGGTGGATCTTCAGCCTTCTTCACATATGTCAAATCAAGCATGCTNCCGGGTTCATTTTGCCTTTTAGAATGGTATCTGGGGTGACTGTGTTGGTTTTTTCTATAGTTTCATAATGCAACATCTTCAATATTGGGTTGTTGTCTGTAGGGGTGGCTCCATCTTCTGTTGTTTCTCCAACTTAGAAGAAGGATTTTGCAACTTAAGATGCATAGGGAAACAGAATTGAGTGATTCCATATTCTTGGCGTTCCATATATGCTGCACTCTTTTAGGATATTATGATTCTTGTTCAAAATCTCCTACAAATAAATGCTGGGAGTTCAACTTTGTTAGGTTTCCCATGGTTAAAACAACCATTTGCCTGTTTTTTTGGGTTGCTGTCAACAGTTAAAGACTCTAAATGCGTTTATACTACAAGTCAGACCTACGATGTGCTAATGCAATTTAAAATATGTGGATTTATTGCCCTTAAAAAAAATAGATCGATTATTTTAGTAAGCATATATGTAGAAAATGTGCAATTTAAATCAATATAAGATAACCCTTTAATGCTTTTGCTCATGTGCTGGTTGTTATTACTAATTTTTTGTGCCTTAAAGAGGCTATCCCCGTTTATTTAATGCCCTTGATCCAAAGGAATAATAAAAATGGAGAAGAAAAAGAAAAATCTTCCCCATCCTGTTCCCATCAGAAATCTAATTGAAATTTGGTATTTTTATCAGGACAAATTTCATTGTTTCCAAAGAAGAGTGAGTTAAAGATAGGTGGATCTTCAGCCTTCTTCACATATGTCAAATCAAGCATGCTGAAGAACAACACCCAAGGAGCTGACCTTGATGATAAAGCTCCTCAACAGTTGAGGACTGAACAGACACTTAGCCCACGGGGTCAACTTGGTTACGATACCCATGTACAAGTTAACACAGAACATCGGGAAAGCCAATCACAAGGAGATGACTTTCTGAGCAGTAACAGCATCTCTGGTTCTTTTTCTGTAGAGAGGTCTTGTACTCCCCCTTTACCACTGGAATGCTCACAACAAAAGAACTCAAACATGGAAGAGTTCTCCCACATGCCTATGCATCCAAGAAATGACTCCCGCCACGACGTTTCAGGTTTCCATCCAAATACTGCTTATCCATATTATATTTCAGGAGGAATGAATCAAGTTATGATGCCGTCATCAACACCAATGTATCAAAAGAACCTGCATGATCTGCAAAACCATGCTACTTCAGTAATGTTGCATCAATTCAATCATATTCCTCAGTGTCCTCCTCATATGCGAGGAATGGCATCTTTTCCTTATTACCCAGTTGGTATATGCATACAACCAGGCCAAATGCCTACAACACCTCCATGGCCATCATATGGAAATCCATCTTCGGCAGTGGGAAAGTTAAATAAAGTTGATCGTAGAGAGGCAGCCTTGATGAAATTCAGGCAGAAAAGGAAGGAGCGTTGTTTTGACAAGAAGATCAGATATGTAAACCGAAAACATCTTGCCGAAAGAAGGCCTCGCGTGCGAGGACAGTTTGTGAGGAAAATAAATGGTGTAAACGTGGATCTTAATGGGCAACCTGCATCAGTAGATGGTGATAATGACGATGAAGAGGAGGATGAGGAAGACCAAGCAGACAGGAATTCTTCTCCTGAGGCTGATGCTTCATTATATCGACGATGAACTGTGGCTTGTTGAGGGGATTCATTCCTTTTATGTTAGTTCCTCTGCCAATAGAAAAGCTTTGTCTCCAAAGAACCCTGTTCCTTGGCCTACTCTATATGTTGCAGTATAGCTCGTGGAAAAATTTGAACTGGCATCTCTGGGTAATATTGACTTAAATTTTGAGCATTCATCCAATTGCGTTGCTGGGTTTTCCTTCGAGAATGCCAGATCATGTGGAGCAGTTTGATCAAGGTTCTCACCTACAGGTTGAGGATTCGGGCAGGAAACTATGCACTTCAATAGTATTTGCTGTTGTATTCTGAAGAAATGTTGAATCTACTTGAAAGAAAGGGAAGATGATGAAATGTGCAGTTTCAGAATCTGAAAAAGGTAACGACACGAGAAACATANTCGGGCAGGAAACTATGCACTTCAATAGTATTTGCTGTTGTATTCTGAAGAAATGTTGAATCTACTTGAAAGAAAGATGATGAAATGTGCAGTTTCAGAATCTGAAAAAGGTAACGACACGAGAAACATATTTTTGAAAATTTTATGTAGTTATCAGGGACATTTGTTTAGACCCCCTGTAGTTTTGTTCAATCGTATGACGATGACTGAGTTATTGACAGGATGTGCTTTGGTCACCAGTAGTCAGAACACGAAACTGTAACATGTACTATTTGAAATGGGAACTATGATGTTGGAAATGACCCTGCCTTTTTAACTGTATATGAACTTTGTTTGCCTGGTGATAGGCACCCTCTGCCCCCAGCGGACAATAATCCTGAGCTAGCTGTGTGAGGATAGGTATCTAATAGATGCCATGAAGGAAACATAATTGTTGACACAGAAAATGGGATTTGAGTCAAAGAAATAAAAAATAAGTGTAGTTTATTTTCAAAGTTTTTTTTGAAAATTTTGGATTTGAAAATTTTGGAAACAAAGAGTACAATATATATATAAGAATATATATATATATATATATATATATATATATATATATATATATNAGTTTTTTTTGAAAATTTTGGAAACAAAGAGTACAATATATATATAAGAATATATATATATATATATATATATATATATTTAGTTATATATATATATATGTATATTTATACATATATATATAAAAACATATATACTTATACATATATTGTGTGTGAGGGATATATATATAATAAAATAGAAGTGTGTTTGAATTTTATCTCAGTCATTTATCTCCTCAAAATTATCACTAATCACTTACCTCACCCATCATCTTTTTGTCAGACTCAAACGTTAAATTACATTACTCATTTCTATCATATATTTAATTATTTATATATTTTCTCCTTAAACATATCACACCACTCATTTTTANTTCTTCAAAATTATCATCAATCACTTACCTCATCCATCATTTTTTTGTCAGACTCAAACGTTAAATCACATTACTCATTTCTATCATATATTTAATTATTTATATATTTTCTCCTTAAACATATCACACCACTCATTTCTATCATATATTTAATTATTTATTATTTAATTAATTTGCAGTTAATATAATTTGAAAAAATTTAATATAGTGGGATCTATTTTTTGGATGCTCAAATTTTATATTTTATCGTATCTTCAGGCACGAGTTATGACTAGTATATATATATATTNTTTGCAGTTAATATAATTTGAAAAAATTTAATATAGTGGGATCTATTTTTTGGATGCTCAAATTTTATATTTTATCGTATCTTCAGACACGAGTTATGACTAATATATATATATATTGTGTGTGTGAGGGGTGTATATATATATATATTTTAAAATTTGGTTTATTGAATTTTTTTTTTATGAACTTGTCAATCTAAAAATAATTTTTTTATTAATGTTTGAATTACTGTTCAAATATATATTTAGACTGTCCAAACATGTTTTANGGGGTGTATATATATATATATTTTAAAATTTAGTTTATTGAATTTTTTTTTTATGAACTTGTCAATCTAAAAATAAATTTTTTATATTTTTTTATTAATGTTTGAATTACTGTTCAAATATATATTTAGACTGTCCAAACATGTTTTACTATTTTCTGTATTGTAAATTTGTTTTTGAAATTATCTAACAAAACAAGTTTTTTTATCTCAAAAAATATCAAAACGACTTTCTTAAAATTTTTTTCAAAAATTATTTTCGGATATTATTTTTTGAAACACAAACCAAACAAGCCCTAAATTTCTGAGAATGGGTCACTGTGTCATAGAGGTGATGAAAGAGGTTTGTGGAATTAATCATCAAATTTTACAAACCATCANTTTGTTTTTGAAATCATCTAACAAAACAAGTTTTTTTATCTCAAAAAATATCAAAACTACTTTCTTAAAATTCTTTTCAAAAATTCTTTTCGGATATTATTTTTTGAAACACAAACCAAACAAGCCCTAAATTTCTGAGAATGGGTCACTGTGTCATAGAGGTGATGAAAGAGGTTTGTGGAATTAATCATCAAATTTTACAAACCATCATACATGTGAAGGCAATTGAAATTGACACTGCACTGGCAACTGAAGCTGCAATTTAGTCAATAGGAACTCTTGGTGTTGTATAAGGCTGAGCCGAAGCCCCATTAGAATGATTCGTACAGTCCTTTTGGCAAGGAATAAGGTTTGCCATTTTGTTAGAAAAGGTTTTTATCATGAGAATAGATTGGAGACAGATGTTTCACGGTAGAAGAGTGAGGAGTGCGACATGTTTGTGCTAGGTACCATAGGAGCTTCATTCAGAAGTCCTGCAAATAGTGTTTTAAGGATTCATATCCCAATGGCAATGAAGTATCCGGTGCGAGGGCAGCAAACCCAAAAAAAAAAAACCAAAAAAGCAGCTCAGTGAATAATGCTCTTACCATTGCANTGGGACATGTTTGTGCTAGGTACCATAGGAGCTTCATTCAGAAGTCCTGCAAATAGTGTTTTAAGGATTCATATCCCAATGGCAATGAAGTATCCGGTGCGAGGGCAGCAAACCCAAAAAAAAAAAACCAAAAAAGCAGCTCAGTGAATAATGCTCTTACCATTGCAACGTCTAGGAAAGGTTCTTAGCTCCACTTGCGAAAAAAAATGTTTCCATGACTGAAACTCAATGATATTTAAGTCACAATTGAACAACTTTATATANTTTTAAGGATTCATATCCCAATGGCAATGAAGTATCCGGTGCGAGGGCAGCAAACCCAAAAAAAAAAAACCAAAAAAGCAGCTCAGTGAATAATGCTCTTACCATTGCAACGTCTAGGAAAGGTTCTTAGCTCCACTTGCGAAAAAATATGTTTCCATGACTGAAACTCAATGATATTTAAGTCACAATTGAACAACTTTATATATCCGAGCTATGATGATGATGAATCAAAGAATCACGTGTTGGCTCAGACAGCAGAAAAGAATTTACATTAATATATAGAAGTCGGTGGAAAAATATTAAAGAAATTAAGCAAAGGCATAAAATTAAATTGTAAATAATATTCAGCACCGGTGCAACCCATAAGAATGCAAGCCATCAAGCTCGAAAAAATAGGAGTAATGAAATTTTAACTCATCACAGTTGCGGATAATAAACAAAGAAATGTTAGATACATGGCCAAGAAAGTAGAAACAATGCAAGCAAATGGTACAGAACACCCAGACAGCAGAACCATGGAGTGATCTCAGAAGCATCATATCCAAGATCATACACACTTCCCACAAAGAATTACAAATGTCAAACATGTAGAATTTTGGAAATCAAGGCTGACAGGCTAATGTATCAGCTTAAAATAAAGGATCAAAATAATGGCAATTACTAGGACTGCAATAACGGAGCCAATGATCCATTTGTTCCTGCTCATCCTTCTTGACATTGAAGTCAGTATCTTCTTGCTTCTGCCTACATTGTCATCGACCCCATGAAGCTGCCAAAAGAAGAAACTTCTGTAAATATATAGAAAATTTGACTTGTTTTTTTTTTGGAAGATTTGCAGTAATGCATTGCAAAGAATTTAGTTCTTCCAAGTAAATACTTAAACACCCAAGTAGCTAGGAAGTTGATCATGATATAATCAAGAGCTTTCTGGCTTGCCTCAGATCTTATGATTGTCAATTATCCCCAAAATATTTGGAAAGCACAAACAGTTCACTTAAAACCAAAGTAGTATAGCCCCAATTCTTCTTCAGATCCCTTCTTTTACTCTGGTGCATAGACTATACGATTACAAAGAATATGAATGTGCTTCCACCCCCATTAAATGTAATTAAAATTAATAACTTGGTTATGATTTTGTATTTCACTTATTCAACTCTTTTACAGGACTCGATATCAAAGCTTCTCTTAGAACTAAACCTAAATCTAAGTGCTATTACCAAAAGGATAAATTATTAACAAGAACAAGTTCAGAAAAAAAATGAACACAAAAAAAAAAGCATAATGAAGCAACAAAGAGTGAGAATGAACCAAAAAATAAATGGTAAGAGTAAGAAAGAAAGTACCGTATTGTTGGCATGCAGGAGAGACTGACGCTGTTGATGTAAGTCTTGAAGAATTGAGACACCAAGGTCTTCTGTTTCCAGCATTGTTCTTCTGCTTTCCTTGATTCTGTCACTGGACTGATTTAATCTCTCAGTTGACATCAATAATCTTCCTCTTTGATCAGCAGACACCTGTACCATCCATCAATTATCAGTAAAAGAAGAGCTCATAAACATTAAGATTTCAATCTATGAACCAGGAGCCATAAAACATATGGAAAGGTCTCCATCATTTGATGTCTTCTACAAACAAAGGAACTGAAAAATCAAACCAATATAAACATTGAAGATAATTAGTTGAAAAAGCCTAATAAAGTGACAGGATAATCCACAAAAGGTGTCAATTTCAAGCACATCTGGAAAAATATTTAGTCAAACAAAACGAATAGGATTTAAAAATTAAGGTCCAGTTGGCTAAATGTCAGAGAAACTATAAAAAGTTTGTACCCAAAACCCAAAGCTCACCAAAAAGGACAGCACTCCACCCAGATGGAGAGTAAAAGGAATACCACAAACAGAGGCACCTAAATTGTGAATAACTTCTTAGTCAATTTGGCAATGTGTAGAAAAGGCTCACTACAATTCACAAACTCAACTCAAAAACAAGCGATTAAGCTTCATACAAAATCCACTTCCCTGTAGAATATCCTAAAAGTTGGGAATGAAGCAGGTTGATCCTTTTTATGCAAAAGCAATAATAAGCAGTAAAGGAAGTTACAGTAAAGGTAGATATGAATTTGAAAAGCCACATTTCTAGAGAAAAAGAAAAGGAATGAATGCTTAAAATAACCCAACAGTCCTCGTCTCTACCTAAAGCTCAAAAAATTAAGATTCAACTCATATTGTTACAGACGAGAGATTGTGGGTGGGGGGGGGGGCCCATCATTGTATCTGCCATTCCTGATTCCAATAAATCATCTCGAGCAGCTTGATTAGCACCAGCCAATGTGATTCTTTTGACTTCGCTTTTCAAATTATTCAGATCAGTCTTATATTCTCGTAACTTGGCAAGAAGCATAGCCTTTGCATTCGGTGGTAAACTCCTAGCTTCAAGGTCCATCTTACGAATCTAAATAAATTCAGGCAATGATCCACAGTTAACCCCGCAACATAAAAAGATAAAGAAGTTTTCAGACACATCAAATAACTATCACATTACCAGAGTCTCAGCATCATCCAATCCAGCTTTAATATCAGACACTTTTTGTTTCTTCTGCTCTGTAAGTCATGAATGTATAGCCACATATCAAAAACTCAAAAACCATAACAAAAAACAGAGAAAACAATCTTGCATATACACACAGAGCTATATCGATATAAAAGAGAAATGAATGTCGGCACAGGAGATCTGGCCACAAGCAAATTAACAGTATCTACGATTAAAGGTAGAATTTACAAATTCAAAACACACACACACACACACACACACGATGTCACTAATTTGTCTTTGCTGTTACTTCTTGAAGTATCTGAGGACAAAGAACTCGTGTGATATTCCAAAACATAGTCATATTTTATCTCTGATATATTTCATAAGGTCAACTATTGAACTGGCAAAAATTACCGGGAATGCAAATACAATGAATTGGCTTTTCGAGGGAAAAAAAATTTGCAACTACAAAATAATGCAGCAGTTACAACCAATAAACTACATGCTTGAGCCTACAGCAATGGCCTTAACAAGTCCCATAGACAACAAAGTAAAATAGATATGCATAGGGAAAAAGAAGAGGTCAACTGCAAAAAATTTTCAATAACAATAGTTCACTGATTTTCAACATTTGTCCTCATTCAAACTACAGCCACATTTACAAACTCAACTTAAGGTGATTAGTCATCAGAGATAAACACCATACATGCCAACAGGCTTAGACCAAGATACAATCATAAATGACTTGAGATAGGATATCTAATGAGCAAATCAGCAAACACTGGACTGAGCGCAAAAGCTAAAAGTTTAACACTAGAATAACACAATATGATATTGATGTTCCAAGTCATCTCAAAGAGGAAATCTCCTAACCAGTAACTAGTCTACAGTAGAATCAACGTCAAATGTGTATGACGAACTCCCACTATACCACTACTAATGCCCCTTGACCAAAACCTAGTAAACCTTAATCTAGATTTGCAGGACGATAAGACAAAGTACAACTCCTCAGTCAACTAGGTTGGCTGTTGATTGCAGCAGAATCATGGTTTCACATAGAAATCCCATTGTATAAAAAAATGTAGCTCTACCCCGTCTTGAATGCATGCTGCAATGGAGGCAATAATATTATAAAGCTCTGGCTGGCTGTTGAATATACAAGCNAAATCTTGCATATACACACAGAGCTATATCGATATAAAAGAGAAATGAATGTCGGCACAGGAGATCTGGCCACAAGCAAAATTAACAGTATCTACAATTAAAGGTAGAATTTACAAATTCAAAACACACACACACACACACACGATGTCACTAATTTGTCTTTGCTGTTACTTCTTGAAGTATCTGAGGACAAAGAACTCGTGTGATATTCCAAAACATAGTCATATTTTATCTCTGATATATTTCATAAGGTTAACTATTGAACTGGCAAAAATTACCGGGAATGCAAATACAATGAATTGGCTTTTCGAGGGAAAAAAAATTTGCAACTACAAAATAATGCAGCAGTTACAACCAATAAACTACATGCTTGAGCCTACAGCAATGGCCTTAACAAGTCCCATAGACAACAAAGTAAAATAGATATGCATAGGGAAAAAGAAGAGGTCAACTGCAAAAAATTTTCAATAACAATAGTTCACTGATTTTCAACATTTGTCCTCATTCAAACTACAGCCACATTTACAAACTCAACTTAAGGTGATTAGTCATCAGAGATAAACACCATACATGCCAACAGGCTTAGACCAAGATACAATCATAAATGACTTGAGATAGGATATCTAATGAGCAAATCAGTAAACTCTGGACTGAGCGCAAAAGCTAAAAGTTTAACACTAGAATAACACAATATGATATTGATGTTCCAAGTCACCTCAAAGAGGAAATCTCCTAACCAGTAACTAGTCTACAGTAGAATCAACGTCAAATGTGTATGACGAACTCCCACTATACCACTACTAATGCCCCTTGACCAAAACCTAGTAAACCTTAATCTAGATTTGCAGGACGATAAGACAAAGTACAACTCCTCAGTCAACTAGGTTGGCTGTTGATTGCAGCAGAATCATGGTTTCACATAGAAATCCCATTGTATAAAAAAATGTAGCTCTACCCCGTCTTGAATGCATGCTGCAATGGAGGCAATAATATTATAAAGCTCTGGCTGGCTGTTGAATATACAAGCACAAAGTTCAAAGATTTACATCTCAGCAATTTCCCCAGTGGCAACAAGTCAAGGACAGGGTAAATGAGTGCTCCAGTGAACTCCAGCACCAGTAAGCACAGGAGGTAGTGTCAGAAAAGAAATTGGGAGATGAATTCCAGGCAAATATTTGTGCTCTACCCAGTAACGAATTTGTCATTTTCTGGTACCCTTGTTCAAGTCAGGGAGCAGCTCAACATTTTTCTAATTGCACCATTTTTCCAGTACACTGAAAATCTTTTCATTTTCCACATTTCACAATTTACTGTGTCTTCCTCTAATCAGCCTCAATTTCTAATTATGTGTTTCTCATATATTCCTCCACGCCCTCGTTGGCATTACTAACCTCCCACCCAGAAATTCTACAAAGATGTATAACACAATTCAACAAAGCAATTGTCCAAAGTATTTCGAGTCGGCTCCTAAATTCAGGGGTGTAGACTAGCGTATCTTTGTGTGTGTCAAAGACAAATTTTGCATAACAGTTCACAGTCCATGTAAACAAACAAGAGACGCTGCAATAAAAAATGAATAAATAAATAACGAAAGAAGAGCAATGTCCCTCACCTCCCTCAAGGANCTTCGAGTCGGCTCCTAAATTCAGGGGTGTAGACTAGCGTGTCTTTGTGTGTGTCAAAGACAAATTTTGCATAACAGTGTCACAGTCCATGTAAACAAACAAGAGACGCTGCAATAAAAAAATGAATAAATAAATAACGAAAGAAGAGCAATGTCCCTCACCTCCCTCAAGGAGACTGGCGGATGCACATTTTTTTGACAAATTTGCCGAAAACTCGCAGTATTGACGCTCATATCCTTCAAATACCTGACTCATCGTGCTCCCCCAAAATCTCTCAATTACCTTCCTCCAAATCCAATCAACAACCACACAGAAAGACAATTTTTACAATCTAATCACAATTCTCCACAACATAAAATTAAATTTAACATATTTAAAAGCAAAATTTGAATTCGAATAACATACAAACACCAAAACCTAACACCTTCATGGTCATTTGAGGTTGATCAAGGAAATCAAAGAATTAGGAAAACATAGATCGGAGTGTACCGGAAGTGATCGGAGGGTTGATGATTTTGTCGCAAAATAAGTCAGAAGCTCCCCGGAGATTGATCGGAGATGATTTTTGATCTGTTTAATTCGTAAAAAAGATGTTTTTTTTTCTCATAATACAGGATGAAAAGAGCAACAACCCTTTGGGATGTTTCGAGGAAGCCACTCAGATTCTATCTATTTACGCCTCACTGCCACGGAGCTTTGAATTCCCAGAAATGCCCCCGTTTGAACAACCTTCAATTTTCTTGTTTAGATTCGAGTCTTCGTAATTAGAATAACTCTAATTGTGAGGTGAGTTAAACCTTCTCTTCTTCATCGCTCAAATTACACAGTGAGACTTTAAATTCGGCTGGACGTAGATGGAGTGTGATTTCTAGGAGGTAGCTGTGTGATACAAATAGGTAGATGGAGTGTGATTTCCAGGAGATAGCTGTGTGATACAAATATTCATTTTATGTACCTAAAACTATATTCATTGAAGTGTTATAGATGTTCTGTTCACCACCTGTTTGATTAATTTTCTCAGAGAACATAACTTTTTCACTTGTTTCATTTCTGTAAAATTCAAGAGTAGTATTTGAAACTACATGGTTTTCCTCAAATAAGAGGATGTTTCTGCCGAAACCCAGATGGAAAGATTTATTATTGCGAACTATCAGTACAGGAGAGCAACATGTTTTGTGCTCTCTCTACTCCACAATGCCACCTGTCCTGCCATCATCAGAACTTCAAGAGCTATGTCGGGTTGTTTCCAGTGGAATTGGCAGCTTAGATGACTTGGAAGCGAGTGTTAGTAACTTCTCCGTTCCTATTACTGCGTCCGCCATTACCCAAGTCCTTGATTCCTGTAAAAACGAAGCAGCCACAAGAAGGCTGTTGAGATTCTTTTCTTGGTCGCGGAAGGATTTGGGTAGTGAGTTAGGAGATGAGGTTTTCAATCACGCGATTCGGCTTTTTTCTGAAAAGAAAGACTTTACAGCAATGGACATTTTGATATCAGACCTTGGTAAGGAGGGTCGTGTGATGGAAACCCAGACTTTTGGTGCTGTAGTTCAGACATTGGTTAAGTTAGGGAGAGTCGATGAAGCTTTAGGGATTTTCAAGAACTTGGGCCAGTTCAAGTGCCCCCAAGATGGTGTTACTATCACTGCCATTGTTAGTGCTCTTTGTTCCAAAGGGCATGCTAAGAGAGCAGAAGGGGTTGTTTGGAATCATAAGGGTAAGATTTCTGGCAGGGAGTTTTGTATTTATAGGAGTCTACTTTATGGGTGGTCTGTGCAGGGGAATGTGAAGGAAGCTAGGAGAACTATAAAAGAGATGAAGTCTGCTGGTATTATGCCTGATCTTTTCTGCTTTAACACATTCCTCAGTTGTCTTTGCGAGCGGAACCTTAAATCTAATCCTTCAGGTCTCGTTCCTGAAGCTTTAAATGTAATGATGGAGATGAGGACTTATGGCATTGCCCCAACCTCAATCAGTTACAATATATTGCTGTCTTGTTTGGGTAGAACCAGAAGAGTCAAAGAATCTCTTCGAATTCTCAAAACAATGAGAAAATCAGGTTGTTTTGCTGACTGGGTCACTTATTATCTTGTTGCAAGAGTTTTGTATTTGACTGGTAGATTTGGTAAAGGAAAGGAAATAGTTCATAAGATGACTGAAGAAGGGCTGGTTCCAGAACAGAAGTTTTACTATGATTTAATTGGTGTTCTTTGTGGAGTTGAGAGGGTGAATTATGCTCTTGAGCTATTTGAGCTGATGAAACAAACCTCGATTGGTGGTTATGGGCCAGTTTACGATGTGCTTATACCAAAATTTTGTAGAGGAGGAGACTTTGAAAAAGGTAAAAAACTTTGGGATGAGGCGACAGCTAAGGGTGTGGCTCTTCATTGTTCGAGTGATGTGTTGGACCCCTCAATCACAGAGGTGTTCAAGCCAAAAAGGAAGATGGAGGAGAGAGTCAACCTTGTGGATTATGCCCCACCCAAAACTCGAGCACAAATAAAGAAGTCTTGTGGAAAGCAAAAGAAAATAAAGAAGAAGAAGAAGAAGAAAAATACTGCTCCAACTTAATTGTTATATCTCCTTCATCGCCCCTCCTTTGTTATAGTCGGTATGTTTTAATTTTATTTACCTGACATTGCAAGGCCATGCATTTATTGATGTTTGTCTGCTTGTTATTATTGTTATAGTCTTCGTTAGAACATATTAGCTTGCTTTCCATAATCTCAGATTATACTTCCTTATTATTGTACAGGTTTTTATTTTTGAACACTATTGTACAGTTTGATAAATAGATTTGTTGTATATGTTATTTTGATCTATGACAGGTCTAATAATGGTGTCTGAGCACATTAGGCACTTCATGCAGGGAATGTGAGTGAGAGAGTGACCTCTCTTGAACATTATTATTTAGAGTAATGCAATTTAGACCTAAAAATCTGATCTAATTTGTTGATATAATGTTATGGTTACAGTAGAACCATTGGATCAACACCAAGTTCTAGGGGCCCACAGTTAATCCAAAGGCTATAGTGAATTAGGTCAACAAATTAAGTCAATAAATTAGGTCTGAATAGCATTGCTCTATTATTTAAAAGATGTTGCCTGATGAGCATAGTTGGGCAAGACTGAAAATTTTGCATTTTTTTGAATGTTGCAAGGGGTTCCTCTCCTAGATAACGTAGCATTTTCTATTAATTGATTGGGTTCACTTGGGGATACAGTGAAGACATTGTGATTCCTATTATAGTTGCCAGATCTGGTAAATACAAAATCCTTGGTGGCTTGGCTCTTTGAATTTCCTCCACTCAACACAGTCCTCTCTCTATTTGGGAGTAATGCCCTTTATATACCCTTTGGCCACAAGTGAGCTTTTTGCAAAAGCCATGCATTTTATAGCTTTAGTGAAGTTTTAGTCCTCAATTCTTTGTGGTCCTTAAAGATATTCAAATTTCTTTGATATGAAATTGGCTATATTTCTTCCTAATACTNCATGCCCTTTATATACCCTTTGGCCACAAGTGAGCTTTTTGCAAAAACCATGCATTTTATAGCTTTAGTGAAGTTTTAGTCCTCAATTCTTTGTGGCCCTTAAAGATATTCAAATTTCTTTGATATGAAATTGGCTATATTTCTTCCTAATACTTGTAGTCGATCTACCAAGTTGGTCCCTTTGAACATTTTCCAGCTGATGTGAATTTCTGGTCTTCACCTTTGTTTTGCTTCAAATGCCATAGTTTTGTTTTTCTCTTTTTTATAAGCCAAAGGAAGTACTGTGCTACAACTTAAATATGTATCGCCCAAGCGTAGGTTATGCGAAGTGTGAAAATGCTCGAAAGTCTTGAAATCGTACTAATTGATGAATGACTTAGAACACAAAAAAAAAATTAAAATAAAATTGCTTTTAAATTTTTTTTGAGAAATTTAAATTTAGAAAACAATAAAATGTGGGTTTAAAATAGTAATTTAGAATACTAAAGCATTAGAGATTCCCTTCCAACTTCACACAATACTTATTTATGATTTGATTTTCGAACTCAATTAAGGTTCAGTTGATGAGTGATCTTAATCGAAAGATTAGCAGTGATAATATGAGAACATACCCAAAAGTATAATTAATAAAATATTTGGATAAAAATTAGTATTTAATTGGAGATAACAAGAATTCGCGGTGTCCGGAGTTGACGATCAATCAAGATCTCTAAGACAAAAAAATAATTTTTTATTATAAACAAGAAATCAAGTAATGTATGAAAATTTAAATTAATTAATTCAATCATGAAAAACCAATTATTCGACCTGCGAGGAATCTAAAACATTCGATGTATGTCACACAACGAATCAAGAGATTTTACAGAGCAAAATTTTTATTAAAAGACATAAGTTAATTAAAAGGAAAAATCATACATTAAAAAATATTGGATCAAAAATAAATACCATATTTTATTGAAAGATTCAGCCCTATCTTTATTTGATGATTTAGCAATCCATAAGAAAACAAAACAAAAAGCTTTGAAAGAGGGGTTGAAGGTAGAATAATCCCCAAATTACAATTTACAATTATTTATAACTGGATTAGGAAGCAAAAACCTAATAGAAATCAAAGACCACATCATCCAGCCACACTGTCTCTCCCATCCGGATACAACGAACATGCATCCGAACGTATGCTTTCATCTTGCAATTCTTCACCATTCAAGTCCGGACGCGTATTTCCTCCGTCCAAATGCACCAAATCCTCTATAAATCGCGTCCAGACGCTTGAAATAACGTCCGAACGTGGCTTTCTCTCTACAACTCACGTCCGAACGTGTGAAATTGACCTCCAGTTGCATTTGTTAGTCTTTGTTTTTCTTCTTTTCTTCATCCAAGCCTTCTATCTTCCGTATATTTACACTTTAGCCTCTATATTTTGCCCTATTTACCTGAAAAACAGATAAGTGCTACAAAAATAGATTTAAAACTTGAAATGCATAAATCACACATATTTAACTTTCAATCCTACGTAACTAACCAACAATTAATAGAACAATTATGCATATTTCATGGCTAATTATATTACATATTGTTAAGAATAGTAGGGTAGTATGTATAAATTGTAGATAGTAATAGAGTATATGTGTAATTTTTATTATTATAGGTTAACTATAAATATAAGTGATACATGAGAGTTAGGTTAAGTTTTTAATCTCAATCTGTTTCTCCCAAAATATATTATCTCTAATATTATGTTAATCTTTCAAACTTAACATGGTATCAAAGATTCTAAATATAAATATTAGTATTAGTCTGTGTTTGTGTTGCAGAAATTACTTGGCTTGGTAACGTTACTGTTGAGGTAGTATCACTGTGCTGTTGTCGGAGTTCCGACGTCGTGGTGGTGTTACACAGTGGTTGTGATACATTGTGGTGGTGGTGGTACAACGGCTGGGTTGGAGATTTTGCTCGTTGTGGTGTTGTGTGNAGTTGTGATACATTGTGGTGGTGGTGGTGGTACAACGGCTGGGTTGGAGATTTTGCTCGTTGTGGTGTTGTGTGAGTCGATCGTGGCTCGATCGTTGTGGTGCCTGTGAGCCGATCGTGGTGGTGCTTGTGAGTTGATCGTGGCTTGATCATTGTGGTGTTCTGTGAGTCGATCGTGGCTACTGAGTCGATTGTCGACGCTGGTGGTTCTCTGTGGTGGTTATTGTGGTGTTGTGGTGGTGGCTGCTGCACAGGATTCTCTTGAAACCCAAATCTGAAGAAGACGAAGTCCATTGGGGTTGGTTGCGGGTCGGTTCAATCCAGACCTGGTCTAGCCCAAGATCCAAATCAAAACCGGTCTAGCCCAAACTTAGACCAGACCGGTTCAAGGTCGGTTTAGTCCACTCCCGGCCGGTTTAGTCCTAGTTTAGTTAGTTTGGCACCGGTTCAGACAGGTTCCAGTATCTTTCCTGTCCGGTTCAGGCTTCCAGTAGCCTTAGCAAGGCTGGTTCAGTGATCCAGAGGGCTAAATCAGTCCGGTTCAACAGTTTTCTAGGCCGGTTCAGTCTTCCAATAGCCTTCTTTGGGCTAAATCAGGCCGGTTCAGCCTACTAGCAGCCTCCTTTGGGCTAACCCAGGCCGGTTCAACGGTTTTTTAGGCCGGTTCAGCCTCCTTTCCTCCAGTTTAGCATTGTAGCACTCCTTTCCTCCTTTCCTTTCCGGTTTGCTGCACTATTATGGACCCCAAACAAGATACCGGGTCCCTTACTCCTTCTTTGCCTCCTCCGACTCTTATTAATGGTCTCATGACCTCTGTCAAACTTAATGAGACTAATTACACTTTATTGTCCTGATCTATTCAAGTTTTTCTTCGAGGCAAACGGTTTAAGAAATATTTGGTGAATACTAAACCAAAGAAAGACACTCCTGTGTATGATCAGTGGGAACAAGAGGGTGCTCAAATTATTTCTTTATTATTGAATAGCATTGAGCCTAGTATTAGTTCTACCTTGCTCTACCTTGACACTGTCAAAGAGATATGGGATCACTTGGCCACTATGTATTTTGGTATGGGTAATTTTACCCAAGCTTATGAGGTGTGCAAGGAGTATTTTCGGCTGGAACAAAATTGATGGGACTCTTCTGAAAAGCCCTGAGATGAAGACACGTGTCCTCGGGGTTTTGGAACAGTGTTGCCCGGATGTAAGCACCATCGGCGAAGAACGTCCTCTACCCCGAGGTGCCCTCTCATATAGGATCACACATTCGGTGTATTATACAAACAAACACGTGTCCTCGGTCACGCGTACCTCGGAAACATACCACCCTCGGTCCCCGAGGTAAGCCTTTTCTCGGTGCCGAGGTCACTCCATCCTGGACGCTTCCTCTACTCCCGGATAAAGCTCATGACATACTGGACATCAGCCTATGCCAGTATGGACTATTCGTCATGACCTCTTCTTACACAAGTAATGTCAGAACGTTCTGGAATACCGACGTAACAGCCAATAAGGGATGGACGCGTGGCAAATAATGTCACATCCGAAGCAGACAAACCGCATGCCGCTGCTGACACGCGACTTGGGAAAGTAAACAATTAATTGCACCCTTCTGTTGACGAGACCGCATTCAATGCGGTAAGGTTCGGATATGAAAGGCAATAAATGCTCCTATTACAGAGCATTTATTGCATCCTTCCCGAAAGGAGCATATTGTACCGTCGGCGTCCCGACAACTCACCATTGATTGCTCGGGACCCCGAGCAGTCAATTAGAGAAGACATTCCTCATCAAATGATTACACACGCTACCTGTGCCTGATGATCACCTACTGACCACACTGACAGCAATCATGATCTTCTAAGGTATAAATACCCCTCCCAAAAGACAAAGCGGGTATGCAATCTCAAACTCTCAACTACGAAATATCCTTCTCAGTGTTTTCTCCTTCCTCTCTCTCATTCAAAGACTGACTAGACCGTCGGAGGGGATACGCCGGAAAACACTCCGGCGCCCTTCTAACTTGTTCTCNTTCGGATATGAAAGGCAATAAATGCTCCTATTACAGAGCATTTATTGCATCCTTCCCGACAGGAGCATATTGTACCGTCGGCGTCCAGACAGACTCAGCATTGATTGTTCGGGACC